AGCATTCCAGATGACTTGGATAACTATCTTTAATGTTCCTTTTCTCATGGGGAAAGAAAAATACATATATTCTACTTTAAATTGTAAACGCTGCATCTTCTGTGAAGAATCTATCTTCAATAGGCATTAGATTGAGCCCTCATTAGAAAAAAGGATAGATGGCAGAATCTGTCAGATGAGATGAAAGCCTGGCAGCTGGCACTTGTTTCTAATATTTGATGAACCAAAAAAGGACTACAGTATAATTCTGAAGGGCAAGCACTGATGGGCAGGGAAAGAAGTTCATCAAGACTCTTCTAGTAAAGTTTGTGTAATTTATTCTCAAGAACAGCTTCATACAGCATAGTGTTGAGTTTTTCATTTAACTGGAGAGGTCTGATGTCTTCACAGTAAGATTTTGCCTTAATACTCATCTCAGCACGCTGTCTCAACAGCACACCCAGAAAAAAAACTGACTTACAGTCATATAACTGAAGGGTTAAGGCATAAACTACTTAACCCCCTTCACCTAAATGAAAAACCTACAAGTATTTAGACTGGTAATACAAACAAAAAATTGTTTTTCTTTCAGGAGAACAAACACTTGATTTACTTTTGTTGGATTTTTGTTTCAGCAGATTTCCAGCAGTATGCTAAGAAAAGATGAAGAAGAGGAGGAGGAGGAAGATGAAGAGGAGGAAGAGGAGGAGGAAGAGGAATTAGATGCTACTAAGGAAGTGAGATAACAAAACAGTTCTGAGAGTCTCTTTTTTTTTTTTTTTGATTGGGAGAAAAAAAATCCCTTTATGTAAAGGCTTTTGTGTGTTAATCAAAAACTTCACTGAGGCTGTATTTTTAAAATTGCAACAGGAGCAAGAATTGGCACTAATAGTAGACTGCCAGACAACAAATGACCAGTTTCAAAGAGTGGAATAAAAATCTCCTGAAAATGGACCATTTCAGTAGCTAGAAAATGAAACATTTAAATAGAATCCTGTATTATATTTGCGTACATATATATTGCAGTCACATTTGCTTAAACTTACAAGATGAACAGTGTCCAAAACCAGCACTAAGCTGACAAGCAGTTACGAACATAAGGGTTTGCTTGTTACTTTGCCAATATATTACCTTATTCTCTAGCTACACACCTCCTGGATTTAGTAAGTCCTCTAGCTATACCTGTCATAATTGGTTTTATACATCCTAAAGTAACTGCGGTACTCAAGAAACCGATTACAGCAACAATCCTGTTACATTTCGTTCTGTTACCCACCTTGGATGGCAGAAGGCGGGGTGAGGCGTAGTTTCCTTATTCTCGTTTTCCGCAGGCTTGACTAAGATGACTTTTGATTCCTTTACACATACAGAATGAACATTCACAAATAAGCATCCAGCCCAGTATCTACTTTTAATGCTGCTTTGCTTTTAAATAAAAGTGCCTTCGTAATAAAACTAGTTGACATTTTATATAGTTGCCATTTATTATATTAGTCAACATGCTAGATATAGTTCAAGTTTCATGTGTTTAACTAGTTGATTCAGTTACCAATTCCATCAAACATACAAGAAATTACACATTCTGAGTGTAATTTCTTACCCTGTTTGGAGATGGTGGTTATGCGTGTTCATTTTTGAATAGCATACAATTGTCTGCCAGAAAGCTGCTACCATATTGTTTATCTCCAACTTCAGTATCTGCTAAAGAAAGAACACATGTATAAATCTAGAATTTAAACGTGTAACTGGGAAAACAATCTTAAGTTATAACCAAAAACTCCTTCAGATACAAAAATAAACTAGGAAGTGCATTTTTAATATTGGTGCTGCCTTTTGTCTACCGATGCAGAGTATGCAATGCATGCTTGTTTAGACAGGTGAAAAAACAGGTTTTCCAAAAAAAATAAGACGGAAATATAAGTAAGTGAAAATGTCACAATACATAGGGTTCTGTTTCAAATCCAAAAGAGTTTTACACCAGAATTACAAACTATTTACATTGAACTACTGTTGACAAGGGGTAGAATACTAATGATTAAAACTTAAAAAGTATCCAGGTAACTAATTCCCATCTATTTCAGTCAGTAGGGCACTTCAATAAGTATTTGTATCACAACATCAGAATTATGATGATCACCACTTTACCATTTCATATTTAGTGAAGTCTTGTAGTCCGTCTCCAAAACAGATGGTTAACTTCATGACTATGCCAAGTTTTCATATAATACAGATATACGCAAATAGCGATTATTTCTGTACTATGCCTTGAAAAAGGAATTCTGAGTAAAAAAAGGAAGCAGTGTTTAGATTAATTCCCACTAAAAGATTAGTAGCTGGGGTTCAGAAAGAGAACTGTTTTTTTTCCTCAGCAGTTTCAAATTTTTTTTTCCTCCCCTACCTCACAAAAAAAGTTGACTTTAGGAGTTACAGAAAAACTTAGAGAAAGGGAGAAACAAAGACTGTTGGGCAACTTTGTTCTGCATCTGTGAAGTCATAAGTTTTCATGTTGGACAGAAATTGTGCAACCTTAAAACTATAGATGAAAATTGCTGATTAAAGTATTTTAAGGCCAGAAGAATGTAGAATGTAATTACATAATTAAATATTACCTATGGATACTTTTGCAAAGATTTTTCTCATGGCATAAAAGCTTACTGGAACACTGACAGTACTGCCTTTGTTCATACATATTTTTGATCACTGACATGTAGATGATGAAGACTGGTATCCATTCTTGTGAAGAGTATTTTGCCACTCTGTTGAACATACTGGCCCATCCCTTTGGGACTAAAGATTATCTTCTCACACTCATCAGATTGTCATATGTTATGGCTTTCCTGGATGCCTCAAGCTGCTTCTGTATGTGATCATTATTACTAGGTTTTGATGACAGAGACTGTTTTGCTTTAAATCATAATTTTTTTGGAGCATGTTAGTAAAAGCAACTTCAAAGTAAGCATAACTAGGGAAACTAGCTGTATTTTATATCAGCACCACAAACAGCAGCATTTCCTCTTTTACTATATGGATGGTACTTAAAAAGGAAGAGCAGTAATTCAAGCCATGTAATTACAGACTGTCTCTTATTTGTCCTTTATACTGCAAGTACAGTGCCCCTGAACCATTAAACATCTAAAGTTATAAAATGCTATTATCAGGAAATGCTGTCACCATACCGTGCACATGTACCACGTATTCAGGCAGAATCAGACTGTCCTATTAACCTCATTATTTAACTAATGTACTGGCATTCCTTCCCAGTTTCCCTCTGCTTTAGATCATCTGTGTATACTTTTAAGTACAGCTTTTGTCTTTATAGACCTATAAAAAACCCTGCTTTTTTTGGCCTAGCAGTCAGACATTTCAGATTAATCTAGAGTAGCCATAAACTCTAATCTGGCTTTAAATTAAAGGCAAATTAGCTATAGGACAAACAAAAAACTCTGCCATTATAAGCTTTATGACTCTTTTTATGTATTCACTGGGGGGGAGGCGGAGTTTACCATCCCAAAAAATTAATGTTATCCTATCAGCAATTATTCTTTCTTGAGAACAAACGATGCTTTTTTTAAAAGATAATCTCACACTTTACCAGCAAAAAACCTACTAAACTCCCCTATCTTCCCAGCCTCCAAATCCTTTTTTTCATTACAAGAATTCATGTGTGTACAACACTACTCTAGAACTAGTAAGAAGTTTACCGATTTATTTTCAGTGTTTGCAATGTCCTATTGTGCAGCAGCTAGAAGAACTTTAAAACCAACAAATCATCTAAAGCTGATTAACTGGAGAAGTTAGCTGCATTCACATTTACAATGCAGCTGATAATACAGAGGCAAGAATTAGTAGTAAAGATGATGCTAGCTTACAAAAATAATCATGATTAAGTTTTCAACAGCAAGATTAGGTCAGACAAATTTATTTTGAGGATTCTCATAACACATCTTCATTTTCCCTGCAAAGTCTTCTGGCTCCTTGGTCTCTTTTATAGCAGCTATGAAATAAAAGCACCAATTTCTTGGGTTTTATTTTAATTCCATTTAAATTCAGACGAGGATTCCGAACAGTACACTTCTGAAGCTAATTCCTACCAGACAGCAAAAAAAGGTACGTAAGTGTTCAGAATTTGAAAATTTGGCCACATTTAAGTTCTTTGCTCAGAGGAATCTACATATACACACTGGGTATTATCATTCATTGAAAATGCTTTTTTCCTGGCACTTAGAACAGAGGACAAATAATATGCAGATGAAACAAAGCTACACTGGCCTTTTAAAAATTACAGAACAAAAAAAATTGCTCTTGATTTTGTTTGCTTCTACTTAAAGGGTTTACATGGAAGTTTAGTAATGATAATGACTTTATATAAACAAAGTAATTAAGGTTTGACCACCAGTGAGGGTGATCAGTCACTGGAACAGGCTGCCTGGAGGGGCTGTGGAGTCTATTGAAAATCCAACAGCAAAGACCTTGAATAACCCATTCTAGTTGATGCTGCTTCGAGAACGGAGTTGGACTAGAGACCCTCAGGTCCCTTCCAACCTCAGCTACCCCATGAATCTCTGATTTTTTGGTATTGCCCAAGCAAAGGTTAAAAGAAGTTTACATCTCCAAGTTGCAACTCTGTTGTCTTAGTTTGAGGGGGGGACTAAAACTTCATAAAATTCTTTAGTACTTCCAAGTACTATCTTGTACAGCTGCAGTGTCAACAAAGTCCTTATTCACACAACCAGAGCTTCTACTGAGCCTCAATTTTTAAGGTGCAGTTTTTCCTCAAACAGGCTAGCTTTTATTTCTTCCTAAAAGTTAAATATGCAAAGCATTCTAAATACTGACATAAGCATTTATTTTCTTACATAAGAAAATAACATACTTGGTTGTCAGCTTGGTTGCCAGTGACAGATGTTAGTTAAAACTAATCAGAGATTGACCTGGAATGCATCCAGACATCATTAGCAAGTTAATATTCATATTACGAGCATATGGAGATAAAACAAAGACCACTCCAAAAGCTCAGGCTGAAGTCAGAATTCTTGATCTAATTCCAACATTCATTTTCTGCTTCAAGGTACTACAGTGAGTGAGGAGAACAAGAAAGCCTATCCAACTGATTAATATGGATTTTGCAGTCTTTGTAAACTGCCTATTCATTGCTGTGTTGACAAACTGTAATAGTTCACTCTTTCTGGAGGAAGCAGCCAGCATCATTCTCACCAAGACCCGTGATATAATACTTGAGGTCATTAACTATACAAGTTTTAAATATAAGACACACATTTGATGGCAATTTCTTTTTTATTTAAAAAAAGTTGCAAAGCCAGCTAATGTCAACAGGGAGCTCTTTTTTCTTCTTTTAATAGAAATGCCTGCAACCACATAAAACCAAAAAAAAATCCAAAGAGTTTACACAAAAAAAAAAAAAAATCAGTCATTTTAAAATTTATTAAGCTAACCTCAGTAAGAAGTGTTATTTACTAATGCAGGTAGCACTTAAGTTCTTCTATTTGAACCGTTTGCATGGTCAATCAACCAGCACTTACATTTTTATTTGATGCAAAGTCATGGGACATGGAATTAAAGCAAACTAAAAAAACCCCAAAGCATTACAACTCCATGCCTTTATACCTTGATGTAAGACATTCAATATCCTCCAGAATTTCTGGGTTCTTCTCTGCCACAAGAAGTAGGCACAATACAGTGCTCATATCTTAACCATACAGATATTTCAACCAAGAACTAAACAACTGAACTAGGTACTATTTACAACCGTTGATGGGAACAGCTTTTTCTGCATCTTCCAGTAACTAAAAAATAATGAAAATAACTGTCAATACTGTCAAATCTAGAATGTCCTATTCTAGAGCATCTTTTACTCCTTTTACAGCAAGCTCAACTTAACTTTCCGTGGACCAATTGGCCTATCATTCAGTTCATTAATAGCAGCCATAGCTTCCTCATAGTTTGTCATAGCAACGATGGCATCACCTGAAGGTAATCCTTGTTCATTATACTGTACAGAAACTGACTCCGGTATGACTCTGTAGCCATAGAAAAAATCCAGAATCTCATTAGGAGTAGCCTTAAAAGGTAAATTTTTCAATCGAATAGGAACAACACGTTCAGAACCACCACTGAAATTTGGATCCGGCATAAATCTTCCTTCAGGAAAATTTCCCATTTTATTATTCCCAAACTCCATTCTGCCAAAAGGTTCACTGTCACCACCAAAATCCATGAGGGGTGGCGGACCTCTAAAATCCTTAGGAGGGCACATGAAGTCCTCGGGGGGGTGCCTAAAATCAGAAGGATGCCTGAAGTTCCCAGGGGGACCAAATGAATGCATGGGTGGCCCTTGTGGTGGCCCAGATGGTGAACCAACTGGACGGGAAAGCTCACCTCTGTCATACGGATGTGAATGACCGTGCATTTCATTTGGTGCAGACAACGGTACAGTTACACCAAACTTCTGCATCTGCTCTTCAGATATAAGTCTTATTAATACCTCCGTTCCCAAGAATCTTCGTCGATTTAAATTTTCTGCTTTCATGGCTTGTTCTTCAGATTTAAACTTCACTAATGCTTCTCCCAGCCCAACTCCTTTGTCATCATAGAGCAAGTAAATATCATCTTCATCAATATCAAATCTCGCAAAGAACTTTTGCACTTCAATTTTTGACACATCAAATGGAAAATTCCTTACATAAACACACATCTTAGGGCCAGAATGACCTTCCCGATAACTTTTTTCTGGTATGGCCTGTCCAGGATGATCTCTGTCCTGCGATCTTTTCCTCTCACAAGAATCAATTATTTTCAACATTGACTTTTTCGAAATTGGAAAAATGTAAACGGGACGGTTGAGAAGAACCTTTCTATGACATTCCAAAGCAGCCTGATAATCTCTCTCACTCCTTAACATCACAAAGGCATCTCTAGTCCTCCTCTGATGCTTATCTGTCAGAAGCTTGATTTGTTTGCTGCATATATCCAGATCAGGAAAAAAAGCTCTCAAATCTCTCTTCTCCAGATTAGTAGATAGATTTCTTAAGTGTATATAATATTCCTGGGTGGGAGGTGAACGAGAACGTGTTCTTTGTCTCCTTGGTGATCTTGAATGAGAATGCTTCCTTGAATGCATGTAGCCTGAACTTCTTGGGGAACGGTCTTCACAGAAAAAGCGATCCATTTCATTTGGCATGTCTACCCTCCCACCATATTCAATCCACCGTTCCTCTGTAGATGGGCTAATTTCTATAAACCTCTGACCCATGTATTGTCTATGACGTTTGAGTCCTTCTAAGGCATCACCAGGCGTAGCAAATTTTACCAAGCAATCACCATTGTTTAAACCATTGCGATGCTTTATCAGAATCACTCCATCCACATGTATCCCAGAAAGGAAAGCACGTACTTCATCTTCTGTTGCAGAGTAAGGTATACCACGTAGAAATAAGTAAAGATCATCTGGGTTAAATGGGTGAGAATCCTTTCTTGACTGATAGCTTGATTTAGGCATACCTATATCACCATGTCTTGTACCATTGGTATGGAAACCAGCCTCCGGATGATTTGGTGGACCATAACCAGGTTTACTTATTCCTTTGGGAAAAGCCGTGACTAAATGTGGAACGTCTCCAATACCCGATGCACCAGAACCATTAGCACCAGTTCTTCTAGAGCCAGACATAGCTTCTCGTCCCCCACGGTCAAATCGTTTCCGGCTCATTTCTATGGTACTCTGCATTTCTGCCTTGCTGCTGAGAAAGAGCTCTATGCGTGAGTCCTTGATAAACCCTCCTGAACAGCTCATGGCACGCCGTGCATCTTCATCTGTTGCAAATATAATAAAAGCCTCCCCAATCTCTCCTCCAATAATATGCACACCTCCATCAGGAATATTCAATCCCAAGAAGAAACGACGAATATCTGGAGGACCCGCAACAACAGGAAGCCCCTGTAAACGGATGACTACAGCCATGCTGAGCTCAACCCACAGCAAAAATCACCTGCAGACAAAAAGGTACACATGATAGCACGTCTTTAGTACTCAGCTATTACAGTATCTTAACACTTAAGAAGCTACAGCCTTTTTAATGAATGCCCTCGTCTCAATCAAGAGAGAAGGTATCAAAACCCCCACAAGTTCACAAGAACAAGATTAAAGCAAGATTCACTGAAAGTTGATTAGTCAAAACAATTAGCTACTCTGCCTGCACACTTGCACAAGCCTATCAATATTGCCTATCCTAAGGGCAACAAATTCCACCTAAGTCACTTCTCACCATCCACAATACCTAAAGAACACCTGAAGTCTTTCACGGCATAGTTACTGTATGCCAGAGATCTCTGCCCCGTTCTAAGGAACAACAACAAAAAAAAAACAACAAAAAAACCCCCTGTTTACTTTTGAACAGGACACTTGTGATCATAACACAGAAAATACTACATGATAAAAGGAGAAAGGAAAAAGCACAACTACGTCACTGGAAAATGAAGTAATTCACCAAAAGTGATGATTTTACTGCTTTCACAAGTTGCTCTACCCAGTGATCAGTTCTGTTCAATAATGTATGTTTTTCTCAGCGTTCAAAAATGTTGTCTCTTTCACATAGTCAGAGTATTAACTGCAGCAGCCACATGCACTTGGGAGAGCATCTCCTAGTTCCCAGCCACAAGTCTGTGAGAAAAAAGGCCGTGTATGATCTTGTCACAATACTCAGTGAGAAGTGTTAAGCTTTTAGCAGCTTACCTGTTTCTGCTTTGAAGACCTGATAAATTCTGTAAAATCAACTTAACTGTGGAAAGAAAATGAAACAGAATTAATGGCTGATATCTGTACTTCACTTTACATACTGTGCTACACTGCTGCAGCTCATCCATAGCAGTGGCTAATATTAAAGCCAAGCATGTAATGAACCCACAACATGGGGTACTATGAAGAACTCCTTCCATGTTCCAAGATGCTATGCATTGCATCTTTGTGTTTCCATTTTAGAAGGAAAAGAAATTCAAAATTTAAAGTTGACTTCTGAAAATGATGAAAACACGATGAGGTTACTTGGTCATCAACTGTGCCACACTGAACTGTTGAAATGAAACAGACTGACAGCATATCGTGGGAAAACTCTCAATTCAGTTCTTTTGAGTCCTTGAAAGAGGCATCAGTCCATCTCAGGATTATAGGATGTGTCCATTCTTCTAAAATCCACCTGCTTTGGAAGTTCACAACAAGAGTATGCTACTCACCAGTCCAGCACTGCACTTAACTAACACAGTGAAGACGATCAAATGAAAAAGCAAAAATATCCAACACGGAAACTTCAGAGTACTTCAATTTACAAAGCAAACTTCAGTATTTATCCTATATGTTTACTGCCTTTCAAACATAACAAGAATAACTTTAGTATACTGACTTAAATGTATCCTTTTTCAATTTTCAACATTACCTAACATCACACAATACATAGCACAGTACTCTCAGAACACAAGCTTCTGTAGCAAATGACTATGTCCTTTAAAAAAAAACAAACAAGAGCCCAATGCTCCAATGACAAGTGTTTGAGAATATTCCTGTACAAACCCCTTGCTCAATGACAAACATAAAGCACTAGATCCTGATGCCAAGTTATCTATTGATCACACTCCACCTCAGCTTAGCAAAACAAGAACAAAGCCCAAATTCTGTAACCAATGGATTCTACGTCACTTCTACATCAGCACTTTGTAAACACAACAAACCAAAACCAACTGCCTATTTAATAACTGCACTGAAGATCATCTGTTCTGTTTACTTTTGTCATGGGTTGACCCCTGCCAGCAGACAAGCACCCACACAGGTGATTGTTCACTCCTCCATCAACAGGATGGGGAAGAAAACAGGAAGAACAAAGTCAAGAAAACTTATGGGTCAAGATGAAGACAGTTTAATCAGTGAAGAGAAAAAAGTGAAACAAAGGAAATCCCTCACCACCTCGCACGGGCTGACCGATGCCCAGCCTGCCTCCAAACAACCACCACCTTGGAAGACAATAAAAAAATCCCCTCAATATAAACCAGAACAATCAAACAAAAACCTTCTTCCTCTACCTCGTTTTTTTTGTTGCTGAGCACAATGTTACATGGCATGGAACATCCCTTTGTTCAGTTTGGGTCAGCTGTGCCGGCCGTGTCCCCTCCCAGCTTCTTGCCTACTCCCAGTGTACTCACCAGGGTGGAGAGTGGGGAAAAAAAAGAGAAAGCCTTGACAGTGTGCAAGCGCTGTTCAGCCATAGCCAAAACACTGATGTGTTGTCAACGCTCTTTTAGCCACAAATCCAAAACACAGCACTGCACGGGTGCTATGAGGAACGTTAACTCCATCCCAGCCAGACTCAGTATGCTTTTTAACATATCTTCTCAACAGCTGTGACGGCAATGCCAAAAAAGCAAGGAGAATTCAAGGACAGCATTTTCTTACAGAACCTTCATGTCTTGAAAAATCAAATCCGCTGCCCCGCTGCCCATGATGTATTTAATCTGTAGTATTTCTGTATTTCACAACTCTGCATCCTTATCCCAATTTTTAAACAGCATTCAGAACAGATCTCTTCAGTATTTCTTCGGTGATAAACAGCAAGTTCTTCACCATTTACCATGGATACAACATACAACCTCCAGTGGTGAAAACTACACAGTGATTCCAGATCATAATGTGATATTTAAGTCCACGAACAGAAATGTAAGTTCAAGTAATAAGCTTCTACTGACTGTGTATTAAACGGTGAAGTATTGGTAGAAAGTGTAGACAAGCCATCCAACAATTTAAAGTGAATGACCAAAAAGAGTGACTTTGGGGATGAAAGTGCCACACAAACTAAGACCAATTCATTGACTGAGCAAAGACTTCATAGAGCAAGGCTTTAGATAATAAATAGATTTATAATTTCATGCCACCGATGTAAAAGCACGGAAGTGTGCACATTGTTTTAAGAAATTTCATGTTTGACCTGAGTTAACTAGAAAACAGTACTATACCTATACTTCCACAGCCTCAGCGTAGTATTTCTACCATTAAAACTTAACGAAAAAAAAAAAAAAACAAAAACAAAAAACCAACCCAACTTGCAAATATTGTAGGAAACTTAAGCCTGCAGTAGACTAGTATTTTTACCACAACGTTGAGAGATTACATAGTCGGCATGCAGTGAGCATGCAAACTAGAAAGAACACCCACAGAAATACCCCAATTGTAAAACGAGACCGATATGAGAATAACTGGTGGATCAGAGAGCGGTTTCTTATCCTAATCTTCTTCAAAATAACCCTTACTTAGGCAGTTGCAGTATGCTGTTGCTAATGACCGTTTTCACGTCGCTGAAGGAAGTTGGAGTGAGCTCTGCGGCTGGGCCCGCTGCGGGGCCGCCTCCGAGCGCTGCGAGCGGGGAGAAAGCCCATGAGGCGCCCGCCGCCGGCCCTTACACCGCTTCGACCACGGACGGCACAGCGCAAGCCTGGGAAGGGGCGAGCGGGCCGAAGCCCAGGGCGGCGGGATGGGGCGCAGGGAGTGCGGGGATGGGGGACCGGGAGGCGATGAGGCCTCCCCACGGCACCGGGACAGGGCTGAAGAGAGGTACCGGGGAGGGAAGGGTGATGGACAGCCAGGCGGCGTGAGGAG